GGAGGGCGGGGGGGGCAGACACAGCCCACTACGCACATGCTTCACTCAGCCCCAGGATTGGGGACAGAGCTGCAGGCTAACAAATCCTTTAAGAGCCTGCTGTGAGCAGCTGGGCAGTCAGCATGAGCAGCTTGGGCACCTAAGGAAAGCAGTTTCCCTTCAAAGGGAAGGCTTGGTGTGCCTGGCCAGCAGAATATGGCTGTGTGTCACAGCCCTCAGCCGAAGGACTCTTGAGCCGCAGGTTTTCAAAGCTCCTGTGCTGTGCTCTCACCATTTTCTGGGTTGGTGTTTCACTCCCAATACTGTGGGGAACTTACCTAGCAGCACAGGTAGTGTTTATAAACAGTACTGCCCCTGCCTGGCTTGCGTCCCTCACTCTCCCATAAAATCTTCTGTTTGCTTTCCAGACGGAGAACAGCCACGAGACTTGCTGAGACCTGTGTTGACTCTTGCCACACAAGATGACAGCAAGAGATGGGCCACAGGATAGGTAATGCCAGGTCCTGACATGTGTGATGGTGTGGGTGGTGATCCAGGATACCAGGAGGTGAGGGGGGACAGGGGGACCTGGCATCTGGGGGTCATCCTTGCCTGCATGCTCACTGGGCTACCAAGCTGTCCCTTCTCTCTGTCAGCTTTTTCATAGCAAATGGGCTGTATACAGTCTCTTGTGCCAGGACATGCCTGGAGAGCCACATTCTGAGGAGCAGCCAGCCTCCTTGCTTTTGTACCCTCCCAGGGAGGGCCTCCCACGGCCCCTCTGCAGTGCCACATCTCCTCTGGCAGCCCAGGCTAGCAGAGGCTCTGGGGCAGGGCCAGGGCACTAAATACTGTCATTCCTTCTCCTTCTGGTGCATTCTGCCACAGGCTCAGGGACAGTCAGAAGCAATGTCTGTCCCCTGCCCTGCCCAGCATCCCCCTCCAAACCGCTCTGTCCCCTCTACAGGTACAAGGCTGTCTGGCTGATCTTCTTCATCCTTGGCCTGGGAACGCTGCTGCCATGGAATTTCTTCATGACTGCCAGGGAGGTAAGCGCTTCCCTCCCGCTGTTGCCTACAACATTAATTGTACCTTGTCATGTCTGGGGAGCACGCTGTAGGTGTGGCAGCATGGCACAGTGTAGAGCCTCCATGTTTGCACGCAAGGAATTGTGAGCATGGGTAACCTGAGTGGGATGAGTGGTACTGAGGTGGCAGGAGCGATGGGCATGGGTCTGGAGTGGGAACCAGTGTGGCCTGGGTGTGCTAGGGGGAGACCTCACAAAACCTCAGCCCCACTAGGCTCCTTCCCTTGCAGTATTTCATCAGCCGCCTAAAAGACCCAGAGGAGACAAGCCATGTCAGGAACCAGACCGGTGAGGTCGCTCTGTCCTACCTGCAGTCCATGTATGACAACTTCATGACTCTCTGCGCCATGGTGCCCCTCCTCATCTTCACCTGCCTCAACTCCTTCATCCATGAGCGGTGAGCCTTGCCCTGTCCTTGGTCCTGCCAGCCCCCATTGGGCCACCCACCCTGGTCTGTCTTCCTGCCCCAGCACAGAGCCAAGCCACAGCCCATTCAGTCAGGTCAAAGGCAAAACACTGGTCTTCTGTCCTAGGGTTTGGCTGGGATTCCCACAGGAGAGTTTGGTCTCAGCCTCACAGGCTTTTGGAGGGGTGGGTTTTCCTCACTCAGACCCTCTTTTGCAGGATTCCCCAGCAAATCCGCATCTCGGGCAGCCTGATGGCCATTGGGCTGGTATTTTTAGTCACTGCGATCATGGTGAAGGTACCCATGGAACCTCTTCCCTTCTTCATCTTTACCATGATCAGCATCGTCTTCATCAACTGTAAGTGAGGCAGGGGGAAGGATGGGTGCACAGCTCCATGGCTAGGGCTGATTCCTCTGGGAGAAAAGCATGAACTTCACTGTGGGGGAGCCAGGGAGATGGGGCAAGGGCGGGGGGCTTGGCTCCCCACAGAGAAGCAATCCATCCTTGCCTTTGGTTTCTCATTTCTGCTCATCTTTCCCCTTCGCAGCCTTCGGCGCCATTCTCCAGGGAAGCCTTTTTGGGCTGGCAGGGCTCCTGCCTGCCAGCTACACAGCCCCCATCATGAGTGGGCAGGGCTTGGCAGGCACCTTTGCTGCTTTGGCGATGATCTTCAGTATTGCCAGTGAGTAATCCCTGCCCTGCAGGTGACAGGGCCTTCCCAGAGCATTGCTGTCGCAGGATCTGCTGGGATCATGCTGTAGGGTTGTGTGGGAGATGGTTGCAGGGTCTCTCTCCTCTCACCTCTTGTCATATTCTTCCTTTCTTCCCCTGGCTCTCCCTTACTATGCCCTCAGTTGGTGCCCAGCAACCTGAGAGCTTCATTGGTTACTTCACAACGGCCTGTGTGGCGATCGTGCTGGCAATCTTCTCCTACATCATTCTGCCTCGCATGGTGAGACTATTGTCCTACTGGGGAAGGGTGTGGGGACATGGGACCTTTACACATCCCATCACAAGGATTGTAGCCCAGTAGTACCCCAGCCTTGGCTCCCACCAGCCTCCACCTCCTGTGTCCTGAGAGAGCACTCCAGGATACTTTCCACCTCAGATACCCCAGTGTACTTGGGAGAGCTGGAAAGCATCAGTATTGGACATAAGTGGAAGGAATACTTGGCCTGTTTTGCCCATATCTGCCGTTGCCACAGAGCCCCTGGCAGCCTTCTTTCCGCACACATGAATGAGTCCTCCGTGCTGTCTCCCTGCAGGATTTCTTCCGATACTACTCCATGAAGGACAAGACAGAGTACCGTGTGTACAATGCAGAGCTGGAGACCAAAAGAGACCTGATTAAGAAAGGTGAGGGCCTGAGCGGAGGAAGGGGAAGAAGGGAAAAGAGGAAAAGCTGAGAGACAGAATGAGACAGGATTGAATTAGATCTCAGCTTGTTGGGATCTGCTGTGTCCTACTTGTGTCTCTCCCTGCAGATGAGAACGGAATGGAGCAGAGTAACTCAAAGATCATCCCTATCCACAACCCTGATGAGAAGCCCTCCGTTGTTGCTATTTTTAAGAAGGTTAGTGAGTAGCCAGCAAGCCTTGCCCTGCCCTTCCTACCAGGGTGGGCTCAGGTGTAGGAGAGCATGGGGAGAGGAGACCAGCCCTGCACTGGTCTCTTGCCCTGTGTTTTGTACCAGCCTCCTTCTTTCATCTGCCTAGCTCTGGATCATGGCTCTGTCTGTCTGCTTTGTCTTCACTGTCACCATCGGCGTCTTTCCTGCCATCACAGCTAAGGTGTCCACTGTCCTCGGAGAGGGAAACAGATGGGGTAAGTGTGTCAGGGATGAGGTGGAGGTAGGAGAAAGCTGAAAACAAGGTAAATGGGAGAAAAGAAAGTGGGGCTTGAAGTAGTAGATGTGTGTGGCAGGGTGACCCTAGCTGGATGCCAAGTGCCCACCAAAGCCACTACAACACTCACTTCCTCAGCTGGACAGGGCAGAGAAAATATAACAAAAGGCTCCTGGGTCAAGACAAGGACAGGGAGAGATCAGTCACCAATTACTGTCACAGGCAAAACAGACTCAACTTGGGGAAAATTAATTTATTACCAGTCAAATCAGAGTATGATAATGAGAAATAAAAACTAAATCTTAAAACACCTTCTGCCCACCTGTCCTTTCTCCTCGGGCTTAACTTTACTCAGGATTTCATTACGTCCTTCCCCTGCAGCAGTGCAGGGGGACAGGGAATGAGGGTTGTGGTCAGTTCATCACGTGTTTTCTCCTCCACTGCTTCCTCCTCAGGGGGAGGACTCATCACACTCTTCCCTGCTTCAGCTTGGGGACCCTCCCATGGGAGAGAGTCCTTCATGAACTCCAATGTGAGTCCTTCCCACAGGCTGCAGTTCATGAACTGCTCCAGCCTGGGTCCCTTCCACAGGGTGCAGTCCTTCAGGAATAGACTACTCCAGCATGGGTGCCTCATGGGGTCACAACTCCTGCCAGCAACCCTGTCTCAGCATGGGGTTTTCCATGGGCTACAGGTGGATATCTGTTCCACTATGGACCTCCATAGGCTGCTGGAGGACAGCCTGCCTCACCATGGTCTTCACCAAGGACTGCAGGGGATTCTCTGCTGTGGCATCCGGAGCACCTTATCCCAGTCCTTTTCCACTGGCCTTGGTGTCTGCAGAGCTGTTTCTCTCACATATTCTCACCTCACTCTCTGGCTGCACCTGCACACATGGGGTGGTTTTTTCCCCCTTCTTAAATGTGTTATCCCATACTGGCCTGACCTTGGCCAGCAGTGGGTCCATCTTGGAGCAGGCTGGCATTGGCTCTGCCAGACATGGGGAAGCTTCTAGCAGCTTCTCACAGAACCCAGCCTTGTAGCTCCCCCACTACCAAAGCCTTGCCACACAAACCCAATGCAGTATGCCTGAAGGGAAGAGGGAACCACCCTGCACGATGATTTGAATGCAGACACCAGCCTGGCTGGGAGACCATTCCAGGCCCTAGTGGGAAACCAGGAGGACCCAGATCTGAAAGATAGTCTCCATGTAATTGTCATGAGGGGCTGGGGCATGCTGGGCGTGTCACTGACCTTCTCCACCTTTTGCAGGTCTCTACTTCATTCCTGTCTCCTGCTTTCTGCTTTTTAATGTTTTTGACTGGACGGGACGGAGTCTCACTGCCCTCTTCACATGGGTAAGCATGGGGCAAGCAAGAGCTCAGGCAGTCTCCATCCCCAGGTCCCTCAGCCGTGGCTCTCACTGAAGCTGCCATCCATGGCTTGGAGCAGGAAGGAGGTGCAGAGCTGTTTAAGTCCTAAGCAGAGATTTATGGGTTAGAGCCGAGAACCACAGCATTGTTCTGTTCTCCCACCCTTCTTTCAGCATGGCTTGGATGAAGCTGCCTCCTCCATTTCAGCCCCTTTGTAAACAAACCTTCACTCCAGCTATGCAAACAGCGAGACAGGACGGCGACGGGGAGAGGGTGAAAGACAGGGCAGCCCAAAATAAAACCTCTGGCCTCGGCACAGGACACAGACGCTTCAAAGACCCTTGTCCTGGAAGCAGGGCAGAGCCATGCCATGTGGGTCACAGAGCTGTGCCCTGCCACATCCCCTTGCTCTCATCTCCCCAGGGTGGGCAAGGAAGGGGGCTGTCCTGTCTGAGTCTCTTCCTGCCCCTTCACCCAACCCCAAGCACCGTTTCCCCATGTATTGTTCAGGCTGTTTGTTTAGAGAAGTTCCTCAGGACCACGTGCCGTGGGGTCTGCCCAGGCCTGACTTCCCCATGGCCTGGAGCTGCTTTTCCCCTGGCCATCACTGCTGGCTGCCCTCAGCCTTGGCCATGAGCCGCCTTGCCTGGTGTCCAGGCCGCAGCCTCCGTGGTGGGATGACCCAGCAGGAAACATTTCCAAAATAAGGCTGTATGGAAAGTCTGACAGCATGTGGTTTGGGCTTCATTTCCCTGGTTGGGGCCCTGCTTGCTCCTTTTCTCTTTCTCAAGCAGGAGAGGCGACTACTTATGCCAGTTTGCCCCACAGACACAGCAACTGGCCTAACCTCAGCTTCCTCCTGTGTTCATGAGTGTTTTGTGGCCATGCCAGCCCAGCAGCTCCCAAGGCAGCTGTGGGTCTCTCCTGACCCCAGACCAGTGAGCCCTGTAATCTGTGACCCCAGCACCTCACTGAGATGACCCCATGCAGAAACAGGCACATTTGGTACCAGGGACTGCCTTGGTCCCAGCTCTAGGGACAACACACGGGGACAGTGCCTCCTTCTTTGTCCCAGCCTCAGTTGTCCAGGAAGTCTGGTAGGATCTGAGACCATAACTTGGTCCATGCCTTTGCCAGCACGTTTCAAAACAACCCCAGCATAATCCCTTTCTCAGATTGCTGGATCTTGCCCCACTTGGCTGGGGGATGGCGTGGGAGGCTGAAGAGCTGGTTAAAGCCCAGTTTGCAGGCGCTGAGGTGCCAGAGGGGATTTACCTCAGCCAGCCTTGCCCTGCACAGTGGTTCACTGCAGGAGGTTGCATGAACATGTACAAGGCTCTCCTGCCTCCTTGCCTGTTGCCAGCAAGGGCTTAGCAGTCACCCACAAGCCCAGCTCAGTATTTTTGCTCTAGTGGTGCTGCTCTCCAAGTTATCTTGGACCGGGCTTTTAGACCTAGTGGGACCTCCTTACCACAGCAGGTGATGATGCTGAGATCTATTGTAGCAGAGAAAGTCTCTTAGCAAATTCACCCTCTGTGGCTCCTCCACAGCTGTGGTGTAGCAGGGACAGCCTCTGTATAGCCCCTGCCAGCACGCCATGGGATGGGGAATGTCTGCTTCTCAGCTGCTCAGCAACTCATGTTTTTCTCCCAGCCCGGGAAGGACAGCTGCCTCCTGCCAGTGTTGGTGGTCCTCCGTGTTATCTTTGTCCCTCTTTTCATGCTGTGCAACGTGAAGCCCCGTCACTACCTGCCCGTCATATTCTCTCATGACGCCTGGTACATCATCTTCATGATCTTCTTCTCCATCTCCAACGGCTACCTGGCCAGCCTTTGCATGTGCTTCGGGCCCAAGTGAGTAGGAGCTGGGGCCAAGGGAAGGGTTGGTTACACCCCCCAGATGCCAGTCCTGGCATGACTTCTGCAGTCTGGCTCTGCCCAGTTCTGGCATCTGGAGAAGGGTCTGCAGGCACAGGGGAGTTGGCACTACCCTCAGTGGCCCATCTCCCAGGCTTGTGCCTCCATATCCTAGGGATGAGGAAGCTAGTTGGACTCTCCATTTGCCCCACCTGCTACACAGGGGAAGGGGATAGATGCAGTGGGGATCCAGAGGGGAGCAGTGTGGCACAGCACCCACAGCAGGGTGAGCAGCCTTGCCCAGCACAGGTGGCATGAGGAGCCCAGCTGGGGCTCAGCCAGGTGGGCTGCAGTGCATGGGGGCAGGAGTCAGGGAGGGCTGTCCTTGGCTCTAGGAGTTTCGAGGCAGCCTGCCTGAGGTACTTTTTCTTTGTGAGCCCTTGGAGCCAAGGTGGATTTGCCATTGCTGTTCCTCTGCTGCAGAGGAGCCTCCTATCTCCACTGAACAGCAGGGCACAGGGGCACGCATCCCAAGGATGGGTCTGACACCTGTTTCTCCCCTAGGAAAGTGCTTGCCCACGAAGCAGAGACAGCTGGAGCCGTCATGGCCTTTTTCCTGTCGCTGGGCTTGGCCCTAGGAGCTGCCATCTCCTTTCTGTTCCGAATTCTCATCTAGCAGAGGCACACCGAGGGTGCAGGGACACCACAAGACGGCTCCGCATCCTCCTCCAAGGCCCTGGACACCTCAGCACTGTGGGGAAATAACACTTCATGCCTGTCCCTGCCAAATCACACTGCCACGGAAGACATTACACCCAGGGACGGTTCCACTCCTGTAGGGTTGGCCTGGCTCCTGCCACGCTCAGCTGTGTGATGCCTTCAGGCCTACGTGCCTTCTCCTTCCCCATGCTGTGTGTGTTGTAAGACCCCCGGGATCTCACAGAGGTCCAGCTGCCTCCCACGCTGCATAACTTCCCCAGCTCAAGGCCAAAAGCCATTTTCAGCCTCTTCCTCTCTGACAGAGTGGAAGGCTGGTATCCAGTGTTATTCCTTCTCTTGCTGTTGTCCCCGAGGCACCTAGGGACTTGCTCTCCTCTCCTTCCAGGGAGCCTGGAAATATCCCACGCCCTTTCTCCTGCTGGCAAGACTTGCAAATGGGGAGAGCCCCGGCCAGCCAGCCTGGTCATCCCTGCTTTCTACTAGACGCACATCTCCCTGCCCAGTGGTATCCCAGAGGCATAGACATCTGTGTCCCACCCGCATAAAGAGCCAACACTGTGGCTAGGCTGAGGGAGGAAGTCTCCCCACCCTACTTTCTCCCTCTCCTCGCCTCTGTCCCTTACTTTGAGGGTTTTTTTGGTGATTCTGCCCTTGTTTGCTTTCAGCCTCCTGATTGTGTGATAGGAGGTCCCACTGTGGGCCACAAGAGGAGAGGCAGCAACTGCCTTCCCACCGAGGCTGCCTTCCCTGGCCCACCCGTGCTGCAGGGGGAGGCCTCATCTCTCCCATGGCTTTCTTGTCCCGTGTCTGTGTAAATGTGTCTGTACAGTTGCCATTTTCTATAAAAAGACCAAAAGGCTCCTTTGGGTATGTGTGTCTGTCTCCCATCACCACCAGGGAGAGGGGCTGTGGAGGGGCAAGGGCTGAAGGGAGGGGGCACCAGCATTTCCTGGGCACCTCAGGGTCTCCTGTAGCCAGCATTGGGTGTGGAAGTGGTATGTGTATCCCCTGCACAGACAGGCCCAGCTATGAGGACAGAGAGAGTGTGGGAAGGGGATTATAGAACCTTAGAATGGTTCAGGTTGGAAAGGACCTTAAAATTCATCCAGTTTGAACCCCTCACCACAGGCAGGGACACCTTCCACTAGATCAGGCTGCTCAGAGCTCAATCCAGCCTGGCCTTCAACACTCTCAGGGATGGGGCATCCACCACGAGCAACCTGTTCCACTGCCTTACCACCCCCACGGGAAAGAATTTCTTCCCAATATCTAATCTAAACCTACTTTCTGTCAGTTTAAGGCCATTCCCCCTTGTCCTGTCACTACATGCCCTGGTAAACAGACTCTTCCATCTTTCTTGTAGTCTCCCTTCAGGTACTGGAAGGTTGCAAATAGGTCATCCCTATAAACAGTCTCTTCTCCAGGCTGAATAATCCCAATTCTCTCAGCCTTTCCTCATAGGAGAGGTGCTCCCTGTCTCTGATCATCTTGGTGTTTCTTCTCTAGACTCACTCCAACAGGTCTATGTTCTTTCTGTGAAGGGACCCCAGAGCTGGATGC